TCTAGGGTTCTCACAAGGATCCCTAAACAAAGATAGAGTTAGAGAAGATTCTTGAAACCCTAATTTTTAAAGAAAAAGCATGATTCCAGAATCCTTTTTTAAAAAAATATCAGTTGTATATATTGTGATACTTGACAATAAAGATAAATGACTCATGTACACTGTAAATGGCAAACTCGGTATGACTCGGTGTAAACTCGATGTGACTCAGTGTGACTCAACCTAACTCGCTAAACTCAGTGTGAGTTGAATCGATTTACAAGAACTCAGTGTACAAACAACATATCAAAAATGAGTCACAACCGAGTAATGAAATTTAACAACAAATATTTTCAAGATCCACAGTCTTAACTAACCAAAGAAAAAATTCTCAAACTGTAAAACCCCAAAAAAAATTTCAACAACAAGAAAAACTCAAGAACAGGTTTACGCAGATCTGAAAGAACAAATTCCTTTTTAAAAAAAAAATTCTATTCAAATCGAAACAAGCTATCACAAGCTCTGATACCACTGTTGGTCCCAAAAGGAGTTTATAGTGTCGATTTACAAGTAAAAACAAGAAAAGAAATCAACAGAAAATCAAGAATCAACACAAGATTTTTCTTCCTTAAGCCCCGAAGTTCAGCGATCTTTCAGACGCTTACATCCCCGTTGAGCATCCGTTTAAGGATTAAGCTCAAATCCACTAAATCGCCTCAAAAATGGCAAAAATAGAGTTTACAGTACACTACTCAAAATATCAATGAATCACTCAAAACAACTACTCCCAAAATTATGAGCTCACACAAGAGATCATAAATCCACTCACTGTCTCTAAAATCACACAAGAAATATAGAGATCTAATTTTTACAGAGAGAGAACAAAGTCGAATAATAGAGAGAAAGACGCGCCCTAGAAAAACTCTGAATCATCGAGCCCTAAAGGACCTCACTAGCATTTATACTCGATCCAGAAGCTTCAGCCAGTTGGACCATCTTTTGGGCCAGAACATTTGGGCCAGACCAGCTGCTTATTAAACGGGCCTCAAAAATAAAAAAGCAAACAACTAACAATATCCACCTTTTGCTGTATTTAGGGACACTACCTCGTGGATTTGAACTTAGAACTAAAACTTCATTTGCTCTTATTACCTGTACAAAACAGAAAGTTAGTTTTCCACAAGATTCAATAATCTTAAAGAATCTAGAAATTTATTTGTAGGTATTACCTTGGTTC